TCATTGTATCTTATGAACCATATATCAAAACTTGAGGTTAATCTAACGGTTAACCATATGAAAATTGATGTTGTACCGAGACTAAAAAACAGAAAACTAGAGTGGTGATCAATTCACTCAAGAATGAGAAATTAATTTCTTTAACTATAGACATTCAATTAATAATATGAATGGTCAAAGTGAATTATTATGTACTATGAACTATATATCAAAATTTTAAGTTAATCTAAAAGTTAACTAGGTGACAATTGATGTTTTACCGAGATGACTCAAAAACATAACTAAATTGGTGATCAATTCACTCGAAAATACGAAATTAATTTCTCTAAGCGCATACCTACGAATAAAAATTTGAGTGGTAAAAGTGAATTATTATGTCTTATAAATCAAATATCAACCTTTCATGTTAATCTGACAGTTAACTATGTGAGAATTGATGTTTTATTGAGAGGACTCAGAAATAGAACTAAAGTGGTGATTAGTTCACTGAAAAATACAAAACTAATTTCTCTAAGTACAGACATTCAATTAATAATCTAAGCGATCAAGTTGATAAAATAGGTCTTAGGAAATATATCTAAAATTTTAGGTTCATATAACAAGTTAACTAAGAGGATATTGAGGTTTTACCGAGATAACCCGGAAAACAGGAAAAGAAAACATAAACAAGAAAACCAAGACCCCACAAGTTGACATGATCGCTCCCCTTATGCTCATATTTTATATATTCAGATTCTTCATCCTAAAACATACAATTATCGTACAAAAAGAAAAGAGTTAGCTTCCTTACCTCTTTTCTAGTATTTTCCTTCAATTTTCAAGACAAATTGCAAGTCCTCCTTCATCTTCCTTATTTTCCTCTCTTGAACCAAGTATAGTCTTTCCAAGAAGACTCTTTCTCCAAAACTCACGTTGCTCCTTCTCCCAAAACTCATGTTGGTGGCTAGTCTCTAAGGTGTCCCACCATTTCATGGGTCTTACAAGAGGAAGCCTAGAAATTCATTTTTCAAATAAATGTATTTTAATATGAAGAAGAAATAATATTTATTCAATTTTAATTTTAATTAGTTAGTTCATTTTAAGTGAAATAATATTCTTTTGAATAAAAATCTTTGAATAAAATCGATTGGAACATTATTTTCTTCGAGTAGATATGTTAATTTTTTTTTCAAATGGATCTATTTTATTCTTTTCTTTTTTATTTTCTAAATTGAAGAGAAAAATACAAAATTAAAATTACGAAAAAATAACTTAAAATCATTATTTAAAATTTTTGGATCAAATTTAATTACTTCAATAGAAGGAATAAAAAAATAATATGTGATTTTTTTAACATAATATGAAATTAAATTTTTTATTATTGATTTTTCTGGGATATTTTTAAAAATATAAATGTCAATGATAATAATGTTGTAAAACTTGAAACTTATCTTTTATTTCTCATCCATCCTTTTCTACACATCACTAAAATAATAAGAATTTATTAAAAATTATAACAACAATTAATATCTTCATAATTTTTCCTATATAATATCTTTTTAAAGAAAAATCTTTGAATGAATTTAATAGCATATTAGCAATTGATTTTCTTGGTTTAATCATTTCATAGGTTTGTGTTTTTTTGTTGGAAGTCGCAAATCGGTCTCTTAAATTTTCTTTTGTCTCGATTAGGTTCCTAATTTTAAAAAATTAAAACAAAGTGACCTTTGTCATTAAATTGGATAAACAATGTTAAAAAACAATGATGTGACTCAGTGAACAGGTTAATGACATGAAATCAAATCAATTAGATCATACTACGTCATCATCTTCAACTTAAAACCACAAACCCTAGCCACTAGACCATCGCGAAGTTGCCATTGAATCGTACCGTTAACCACCAATGACTTTCACACGCAAGCGCGCCACCATTGTACAACCTACATCGCGAGCCTCAATCCGTGAATCCACCTCGCGCCTCCATCCTCCACGTACAAATGAATGAACTATCGCACTTTGTCACAGATCTGTAGCAACCACCAACAGAAGACACCCGCAATTCCTTTTCACATATCTGCACATCGCAAGTTCTTTCGTGGAAAAATCTCACCTTCACTACTAGAAACAACACCATAAATCCCTACACCACAAAGACGACCACCATGAAACATCAGATCTTTCCACCATTGCGATTGTAACACCAACAACCTCGTGAAATCTTGATGTCGCACTCTCTAGACCTTACGCCACCATTCGAACAAAACCCTAAATCACGCCATCATCCATTGATGTATAGACCACCATAATCACTTACACCTCCTTCATCGCACAACCCATTCATGCCACCGCCACAAATCCATGAGCAACCTAGAAGAACAAGAGCCAAGGACCACTCCATTACATCATCACAAGCTCTAATTTGAAGATCCATTGCAGAACCTCACCTCCATCAACCTCACACGTTGGCGTCAAACGACCACGAAGATGAAAAATGACGTTGGAATTCACCACCACACCAAATCTGATCACTAACAATAACCTCGCCAGTCACAGATCCATAAGCCTCATATCTCAAAAATCAGAAACATTCAATATACTTGATCGCATGATAAAGGCCAACCACTACGACAAGGATGTAGACCACCAACACGACCATGCGCGCCTCCTGCGATAATGACTCCTAACACTGTGAGTACCTCATACTATTGTAAGCCATAGGGTTCTCCACACCGTCACGAGAGAAGAAGTAGTGCACGTGAGTTGGTTTGCTCCACCATTGCAAAATGAAAACAAAACAAAATTAGTAATTTCTCAATTATTTGGCCCAAAACTCATGAGACACAAGAAAATACTAACATACCAGTGGTGGTTTTGTGGAGATTCAGTAGTGGCTCGTTAAAAAAGTAAAAATCGAAGATGAAAATTGAATATTGTAGAGATTCGACTAAAAACTAAATTTTGGGAGGAGTTTTTTATTTTTTTCAAAGAAGAAAAAAATAAGAAAAGTAATCATTGAAAATAATAATAAAAGAATTTTTTTAGAATTTTACAATATTATTATTATTATTGTTATTTTTATATAACATTTACCAACTCAAATCATCACATTTGCAGAATCAATCAAAGAATATTCCCAAATTTTCATCATACAACTGAAATTAAGCAAATATGGAAACCTACTCTCAATTCAACATGTCATATTCATCAAACAACTTAATCATTCATGCAATTCACAATACAACCATACAATTAGCAATTTCAATATCTCTATAATTCAAAAACAATGCAATTAACTTCCATTACCTATAAGATAGCTAAAACAACTTTAAAACCCAACTCCCTTTAGGCTCATAGAATGCCCTATTTTTACCTAAAAACAACATAAACACAATTAAACGTTTCATTGAGACCACTAATCGGTAGAGACTCTTATAGAAGATTCAAATATTATATGTAAGCTAAAAGAACTCATATGTGAAGAAAGATTAAACAGATAAAGAAAAATGTAGAGAACCAACTTACTGTAAAAAGGAACTGATCGATTAGAACTGAAGAGTTCGCCAAAAGAAACACTCTAGTAGTCTCCAATCTTCAAACAAAGGAATGGGATGTAAGAAAGCTTAAAGAGAAGTGAGAAAACTCTAAAAAGTTATTTCTAGAAAGATGGTGTATTTTTAAATAATGAAACTTGGTTATAAAACTTTTATTTATACTTTAACTTTTTAATATTAAAATAATTGAGTATCATTGCTTTAAGTGTTCTAAAATACTATTTTCTATATTGTTACAATTTAATTGATCATAAATAATAACAAATTTAACAAATTTAAGTTCAAATTATATATATTTTAGAATTTGTTTAAAAAAATGAATAATAACAAATTTAAGTTCAAATTATATTAAGAAAATCATAAACTATTTTTTATTTTATTTCTTATTTTAAAATAATTAAAATTTGAACTCAATAACTCTAATTAATTATTTTCAATTGCTTTTCACAATTTTGACTTTTGTTTTTCTCATTTTTAGAAAAACAAAAACAGAGTAAGAAAATTCTAAATATATGATATGGAAAAATAATATTCTAATGTCATAAATATGATATGGAAAAATAATGTTCTAATGTGTTTATTTTAAAAAAATATCTGAAAAGTTATTATTCCGAGAAATAAAATTAAATAAAATAAAATTAGTACTATATTTGGATATTTTTTTTTAAGAGAGATATAACGTATGTTCAATTATATTAATTTTTGTCTCTGTGAAAGTGTGTATGCTTCTTGTCGGCGTACTAAGTTCAAATTGGATATTATTATGAATTTGAATATCCCAATTGTGCTATATTCTAAATGTATCAATAATATGTCATTATATAAAATATTATTAAAATAAAAAAAATAAAATAAATACAAAACATGAAGATTTCATAGTATCACTATACCGACAAAATAGTAGCAGCGATGGTCAATAATTTTTTAATAAACTCTAATTAACCGAAAGATGTTTCAAGGGATTTTACATTTAAATTTAAACTTAAATATTTATTTTGTGATCGTGTTAAAAGGTAAATTTTTTTTTAATAACAGTTTTAAAATATAGATATTTAAATCCTAGACTTTTAAATTTGTATCAATTCACTCTAACGTGTGGCTGGTATTTTTTTTCTCTCTCCTCAGCTCTACCTTTTTCTCTCTCTTTTCTATTTTTCTCACCGTTAATTATCTGTCACGTTTTTCTCTCTTTCCACCGTTAAGTTATGCTCTTCCTAACACTATTAAGTACTATAAAATGATATAGACTGAGATATTTGACTAAGTGCGATATCGCTGTTTATAGTTACACATTACATGTCAGTGCCACAGTTTTATTTGACTAAGGGAATCTCTCTCCCAGCCGACGTTGGCGGCGAGCGCGGCCTCGCGCTGTGGAAGAAAAAGGCTAAGAAAAGGGGAAGAAAATGCATATTTATCTTGCCATCGTACACATTAATTTATTCATTTTATACTGTTTCCATTTTGCAGTGATGAACTTGAACAAGTCACTGAGCCTTCCGAGCATTCTTGAGGTTTCTTACAGTCATAACAAGCTTTTGTCTTTCACCTTCTACCTCTGCAAATTTGAGACTCATTTCTGAGTATCTTTGTTGTAACTCTTTAAGCTCAGTTTCCATTAAGTTGTTTCCTTCCTTCAACAGCGATAACTCAGCTAAAGTTTCACAAAGATTGCTATCTCCATTATCATCCACTGTGGATCTTTCTGCTTCTTTCCCCGGCAAATATAAATTACTGCAATGAACAGAAAGTGATCAATAATGAAACAAATGAATATGGTTGAATGTGATTTTCAGAAACTATTAGCAACATATTACAACTTCCACATTCCAAACGTGATTCATCCATCTTTAAGGTTTCTAAACACACTTATAGGCATACCGTGTAATCATAACAGGTATTAAATTATGTATACTTGATGTTGTACAGAAAATATAAAGAACACAGACCTATTCAACAATGTCAATGCAACACCGTTTTCCTCAGCCACGCTGGTAGTATCATTTGAAGTAGTAATACCCTTATCCTCATCAACCTGTTTGAAATGCAAGACATTTATATTTATTACTGATATATGATTCAATAAGGTCATAGACCAACACTGCAATAATTATTACTATGAAACCTTGCCTAAGAAAAATGATAAATAAAAGAAATAGTTGGAATATTCTTGTTTGCATCCTTCATCAGAGCAGTTTAATTGATATGGCAGTTGACACTAAGACTCTCGATTTTTAATTTATATATTTTTGCAGATTGCTTGAGTTAATAAGTATACCTTTTGCAAAGCAATGCTTTGATTGAATTCCTCAACTTTGTCCTCCAGTTGCTCGATTTTGGATTGGAGCTCCCTTTCCTTCTCCAAAAATGAAGAAGCTGCATTTCCAAAGCAGTTTCCTTGGACTTTATCATGCCCCGCCACAAATAACTCTTTTGTTAATATACTTCCCTCAACTCCTAGAGAAAAACAAATCATCCTAAGAAAATGCATGCGAATAGAAGAATTAGCTTTTGGGATTTGTGAAGTTATTACCTCAAGTGTTTTTATTTTCTCCTTCAGATTTGCTATTTCTTTTACACTATGAGGAATTGAACCACCTTTTTTATTCTTTAATGGTACAATTTATGCTACTTGATGATGGTAGGAAGAGCAGAAGTTAATGGTGGAAGAGAGAGAAAAAGGTGACAGGTAATTAATGATGAGAGAAATAGAAAAGAGAGAGAAAAAGGTAACAGGAAGAGAGTAGACGAGAGAGAAAAAAAGTGCAGTCACGTAAGCGTGAAGTTAACGCCGTTTCTACCAACTTAACGGATAGGACTAAATTGATACAAATTTGAAAACATAGGAACCAAATATCTAAATTTTTAAAATTGGATACTAAACAGAAATTCACCTCTTAACATAGGGACGAAGTAAGCATTTAAGCCTTAAATTTACTAATAGATACCTTGGTCGGTATGAAATCTGTTAGAGAGATTCATTGATAACCCATCACCATAATTATTGAAGGCTTCGCCTTTCGGTAATTGTTTGTCAATAAATTAAAATTTTCTTTACCTACGAATATTTTTGTACTATCATAGTTACCGAAGGTTCATATCCATTGATAGTTTGGGCGGAAAATTTTCTGTCAAATCTGCAAGTATATTATATTATATTAAAGAGATATGAGTGAGAAGAATAAGAGAAGAAGAAGAGGAAGGAGAAAGAGTAAGAGGAGAAAATTTTTGAGGTAGATGATGGTGGGTGTCGTGGAAGTTAGTTGGTGGTAGGTGTCGGTCAGCACAATGATGATATTGATGATCATCAGTGAAGCGTACATGTGCTATTCCAGTGTTGGTGATGATGATGGCCAAAGTTAGAGGAGGAGAGGGGAAGAGGAAGACAAATAAGAGGAGGAGAAGGAAAGATGAAGACAAATAAAAGGAGGATGAGACCTCAAAAGATGAAAATAAATTTGTAGTGATGATAGTGGCACAGCGGCTGGTCAACAACGTGAACAAAAAAAAACGTAAATGAGAAAGAAAATGAAGACGAGGAGGAAAAATGAGACTCAATTGTCCATTTTATCAATGAATATTACTGATAAACATTTATCCATATATTTATGGTTGCTGGTATTTACATTAGTGCAGTAAAGGAAAACGACAATAGTTATTTTCGCCTATCCGCAACAGTTCTACAACCGAGATATATACGAAAAAGTGATAGGCTTTTTGCCTCGGTTTAGAACAGCGGCAAAAAGGTGTATGCTTTTGCCTCGGTTCAAATGCAACCGAGGCAGTAAAGGGTGTTCCTGTTTTTATTTTTCTTTTTTGCCAAACTTTTGTCAAAATTGTCCATAACAGTCCAGAAGCATATTTTCATCAACAAATCAACCAATTTAATACAACAATTCAAAATTATTTGATATTTCTATGACCATTATATCAATCTAATCACCAAATAACAATAAAATTGCTAGTCCTATAACCAATATATCAATCTCACAACAATTATTATTAAACACATATCAATCTAATGACCAAATAACAATAAAATTAATAGTCCTATCACCAATATATCAATCTCACACCAATTATTATCAAACACATATCAATCTAATCACCAACTAATAATACAATTGTTAGTCCTATGACCAATATAATCTCACAGCAATTTTAATCAAACACACACCAAGAGAATGAATGAATTGTGGCGGCAGCAAAATGGAGAGCCCTTCGCGCTGGAGTATGGAGGCAACACCAGAGAGGAAGAAAGTTGTTCCTTCGCATGAGAAAACGAAATGAAAGCAACGAGGTGGAGTCCTTCGAACGGCAGAAATGGAGGCACTATGGCGAAGGCAGCACCAGTGGAGACAAAGTTCGTTCGTTCGCAAGGGAAGAAAACAACACGAAAAGAAGAAGAAACGTGGTATGCGTTGTATAGGAAGTAGAAAGCTTGTGGAGGAGAAAGACAAATTCGTGTTCGCTCGTGGAGGAGGAAGAAGAAGCATTATTCGCGTGAGAAGAAATTTTTTGCGTTCTGGAAATGTAACCCCTGAAAACAATATTACCTCAGTTAAGTGGAAAACCAAGGCAATACACCCTCTACTGCCTCAGTTGTAACTGAAACTAATGCGTAAAACTTTTAGAAAATGAAATTTTGAAAATATGTTCAACCTATAGGCCTCGGTTCGCGATTAAATCGAGACATAAACACCTTATGACATTGGTTCTCAAAGAACTAAGGCAATACAAGTTGACATTAACGAATTTGGAACGTTCAGTTTCAACTGTCTACCAGGACATATTGCCTCGATTCTGCTCAGAACCGAGCAGTAGGTCATTTTCAGGGCTTTGTCAGTGGATATCAGTGCCTATAGAGGGATTTGGTAGGGTCTTTTGCCTCGGTTGGTCAGAGACCCGAGGCAGTATCAGTTGACAAAAGGAATTCATAACGTTCAAATTAGATTTTACAGGTTTGGCAGGACATACTGCCTCGATTTTATGCCTTGGTTGGTCGGGAAATTAAGACAGTAGATCATTTTCGAAAAAGGTATCAGATGAAGAGTTTGACTTGCAGAAAGAACAAGTGTTTTCTAAGGGTTATGTGTCTCAGTTGCTAACTTAACCAAGACAATAGGCCCCTTACACTTCGGTTCCCTATGAACCGAGATATATAACTTTACAATAATTACAAAAGTATCACCATGTTTTGATATATGTTTCAGTTTTTACGAAACCAATATATAACGTGTTAAAAACCTCTCTTGTTTTTAAATAATTATATCTATATATTGATAGACTTTATCGATCACTACTTTATTAATGAATTTTTATGTCTCAATATTGTATCAACAAACATGATTTAATATTTATTATTATGAACAAATACTACATTATTATTTTTATGAATATAATAATTCTTCTTTTTTGTGGTTGTTAAAACCTTGGGGCTTTTGCTTTGTTGTTATCAATAAATACCAAATAAGCAAACGGCAAAGAAAAAGAGAGAACCTAAAATATATAATTTATGTGACTCTTTTGGACGTGTATTATAATTTTATTAATTGTAAATGCAATAGCTTTGTTTAAAAGATATTATTAAAACTTTTTTATGACAATTTTTATTATTTATTTAAATTTAAAAACAGTTTATTTTCAAATATATAATTTATATTTATTATTTTATTTCTCATATAAGTCACTTAAAATATGTGGTGATTAAATATCATTTGTAAAACTATTACATTTCACATCAAGATCTTTGCACATATTTATTCATTTATGAGATTATGCGTATCCTTTGGATCGATATATACGTTTAGTAATATTGTTAAATATTTACAACAATTATGTGATAATGTTTAAAAAAAATAAAAACACGTGAGAAGCAAATGTAAGAAAAAAAAGTTTACGTGAAAAATTGGATACATTGCATGAAGACATCATCCATACCACGCAAAACACATTTCATGCTTTTTACAGAGATTTCGGCAAAAGAGTGAAAGCGACTGATATTTTCTAAGCAGAATTTGAGAACAATTTGTAAATAAATTTTTTATAGTGTAAATCATATGTATAAATCAAATGATAAATTAATCCTCTAAGGAGGTAAAAGAAATTTAGAATATGATTTTTTTATAAAACTCAAACACCAGAGCTTTTGTAGGAAAAATTAAACTTCTCTTCTTGGTGTTGGATAATATTTTCTGAAAGTAATATTATACTATTTTCAAAATTTTAATAAATTGAAATTGCTACATGTTTCACATTGAACAAAAAATTATTTATTTTAAAAAGTCTATATGTACCAGAATGATTTTATTTAAAAAGTCTATTTATTTAAATAAACTGTCAGAGGTTTAAAACATGAAGTTATTAATGAGACGTGACAGACCAGAATTCCAATTTCCTTATGATTGTGTATCATGCCTTAGAATTTCATGGAAAGGAAAATTCTATTATTATTTCCCTTCTCTCTTAGGCCTAATATTTATTTATTTTAATTGTGATCAAGAAATTCTTAATAAGTTTGTTATCAAATCCTCCTCACAATATTTGTTAGCTATTTCTACCAAAAAAAAATATTTACAAAACGTGAGCATCCGTATTAGACCATCTTTATTTTATATATTCTTATAATGTAAGGTTCTATATTTAGACCTTTTCTTTTTATCTCATATCAGTATGATATAATAAAAAAAATTTAGATTTTAAAATTATGATTACTGTATACTAAAGAAAAAAAAAAGGTAATGTTTAGCAACGAATTAACAAAAAGTGTATTGAAAATATAAATTTTGTGTGTTGTCTAAAAATAATATAATATATTTTAAAATTAAAATTAGTGGTGTATTTTAAAAATATGGATAACAGAAAAAACTATAAAACACAAGCAAAATTCCACATTTTCTCTTACAATTTAGTGTATATACTATAAAAAATAATATCTAGAGATTAATTGGTAAATAATGTCAAATTTATCTTACATATTATAAATTCTAAAACTTTGAACATCAATGCATTGACTTTTTTTTAAAGACAGATCCCGGATAAATTAAATATGTTAAACGGTAAACAATTATAAACAAATTATTTTACAACATTTATTCTTAAAGATGTTAATTGCAGAAGAAAAATTGACAGCTAGAGTTCTACTTTTAGAAAACACCAAAGAAAAAGGAAGGACAAAACAGTGTACATAATCAAACATTGATATGACAAATACTTGTACAGAAATTAATAGAGAAATAAGAAGCACCCATGTTTCTATAGATATATTATAATTATTTAATGAGATAATAATCATAAATACCGATACTCTCATCTCCCTATTTAATGAAATTAACATTATTTTTCAAAGTTACATGTTTCCAAAACATATACAATAAATTAAAGATTTTTAATTTATTTTTAAATACAAATACGTTAACTACTTTTACCTGTAACAATGAAGCAAAATAAATCTGAAAGCAATATGTCATTTTATAAAAATTTAGTTCTTACAAGTTTATGCTTGGAAATCAGTAATAATAAGATAAATAATCAGAATGACAATATGAAAATAGTATGTAATTAAAATATTTACATAATTAAATATAAATATTGATATATTTCTTTTTAAAATAATAAAAATATAGCAATAAATATTTTAATGAATAAATTATCTATCTATTTCTATAATTAATAATTATAGAATTGCAGATACCTAATGGCCATTTGACAATTACTACTGCTGTTGCATAGATTTTTCCCTCCAGAATGTATAGATTTGAGTCGTAACTCTCACCATTTTTGGCAATCATTATAAATAGGAACCTCGTTAGCCAAGAGTGACCACAGTTTAGCTCTAATTTCTTTATACTTACCATTTTCTTCCTTTTGAATTCCCAGTATATCTATGGATTTCGCCCCCCTGCACCTTCAATCGCTTCTCATTTCTTTATTTGTTGTGATTTGTGGTTTTACCATTATCAGAGTCTTGAGATATCACATGATTCAGAAGCCTAAACTGCCTCCAGGTCCTAAACCATGGCCTATACTTGGTAACCTTCCTCAAATGCTCTCAAACAAACCTGTATTTCGATGGATACACAATCTCATGCAAGATATGAACACTCAAATTGCATGCATTCGTCTAGGAAATGTCCATGTAATTCCAGTCACATGTCCCTCCATTGCTTGTGAGTTTTTGAGAAAACACGATGCTGAATTTTCTTCAAGACCACTGACCATGGCCACTGATATCATGTCCAGTGGTTATAAGACCATAGCTATTGTACCCTTTGGGGAGCAATGGAAGAAAATGAGGAGAATCTTCGTCAACGACTTGTTCTCCCCTCTCAGACACCACTGCTTTCAACACAAAAGGAACGAAGAAGCTGATAACATTATGTTTTATGTGTACAACAAATGCAACAATGTGAAGGATGGGGGCCTTGTGAATGTCAGAGATGTTTCACAGCACTACTGTTGCAATGTCACGAGGAAGTTGATTTTTAATACAAGGTACTTTGGAAAGGGTAGGGTGGATGGAGGGCCAGGGCCAGAAGAAGTAGAACAAGTGAATAACATTTTCACATTGCTTAAACACGCTTATGCATTTTCTGTTTCTGATTATCTGCCATGGTTGAGGGCTTTTGATTTGGATGGGCACAAGAGGAAGGTGAAGAAAGCAATGAGAACGATGGAGAAGTATCATGATCCAATGATTGAAGAGAGAATGAAGCAATGGAAGAATGGAACAAAGAGCGTTGAAGAAGACTTGTTGGATGTTCTGATCTCACTCAAAGATGACAATGACAATCGTACTTTGACGATGAAGGAAATCAAGGCGCTTACTATAGTAATACATCACTCCTTATCACCTTTTTTAGAAGTGCTAGATTAATCTAATAACTTACCTTTTTAAAAATAAATAATTTTTTACTTTTTTTAATCAGCAAATATTATCTAATTCTTATGATTAGAATATTGTTTTTAATCATTTTAATTTTTTTATTTGCCTACTTTATTTATTTTAGAAATAATTTGCCTTTTTCTAATCGGAAATATTATCTAATTCTTGCGGTAACGTAAATATTATTTACGTAATTTATGGGGAAAAATATTTTATTTATAACCATTTATTATATCTAAAACCGAAATATTTTATTAAAAGATATAAATGAAATTATTCAAAAGGACTTATCTTGAAGTGACATGGTTATCTACCTATCATAAATCCTATTTAAACGAATCAAAAGACTTATACATAAATAATTAATGTGTTGAATTCAAAATTGAATAATGTTTTTCCTTTTATTAAAAATAATCCTTTAGTTACCAGGTTTTATTTTCCTACTTAATCTGAGATGACTGTATGAAAAATATTCTTTGAAAGAGGGATCATACCAGCAGTGTAACATATACACATTGATACATATTCTGATTGGCCTAAAATGTGTAAAAGTAACACAATGTTAACACTTTCCAAATTCACGGCAGAAATTATAATAACCATTCACATCTATTGCTTTGTTTCTATGCATAAACAATTTTACAATGCAAATACAAACTACATATACGAATCAAGAGAAAAAAATATGCAGGAACTTATGCTTGGAGGAGCAGACAATCCATCGAATGCAGTTGAATGTGTCCTTGCAGAAATGGTAAGTCAACCCCATATACTTCAGCAAGCTACTGATGAAGTAGACAAGGTTGTCGGTAAGCAAAGGATGGTACAAGAATCAGATATTCCAGAGCTCAATTACGTAAAGGCTTGTTTGAGAGAAGCCTTTCGCCTTCATCCTGTGGTACCTTTTAATCCTCCCCATGTCTCGAGCAATGACACAATGGTGGGAAACTATTTTATTCCAAAGGGTAGCCATGTACTACTAAGCAGACATGGACTTGGACAAAACCCTAAAGTGTGGAACGAACCACACAAGTTCAAACCTGAACGTCATCAAAAGAGTGATGGAACTATGGTTGTTTTGTCAGAACCAGATTTGAAGTTCATATCATTTGGCACAGGAAGACGAGGTTGTCCTGCAGTTATACTTGGCTCCACCATGACTGTGATGTTATTGGCCAGGCTGATCCATGCATTTTCCTGGAATGCACCTCCAAATTTATCAAGTATCAACACTCTTAAGTCTGACAATGGTGGTATGCTTGCTGAAGCACTTGTGTTAGAAGCCAAACCAAGATTAGCATCAGAGTTGTATCACAGTTAAATAAGTACATGCAAATGAAAGTTATTATGTGTGCTTTACTTTTTTCCTTTTTAAATAAAGATTAAGAAAATTGTTACTGTTGCGTCTGCAGCCCAAGGAAAAATCTCCCTTTGACTTTAAACTCCTTATCCAGGCATTGTGTTATTTTCTTAATGTCAGAAATGGAATCTCCTAAAGCAAGATTATGAATGAATTTTTAATATGGTGCTTAGTGAACAAAGAGTGATAAAGAGAGACTACGTAAATTTAAACTTTGCATCCCTTTTAGGATTTTGCTGGGTTCGCGTTTCATGGTTAAATTTGTTGTTGGAAAAATTTGTTTATTTTCTTTCTGTTTCGACCGGATCCGGGGAGGCCCTGTTAAAACACTCATAAACGGAAAGACTGGCGGATGGAAGATTTCGCATGCAACGGATCGGACGGACGCTTGATGCGGCGGACGGAAGATTTCTCACCAGCTGAAGCAGATCGAGCGGCTCTGGCGCTTGGGAGCATTAGGAGCTGACGAGAACCGGATGGACTCTGCTGAATCCCACGAACTGAAGAAGACCGGGCCAAGACCGGACGGATGGTTATCTCTTGGCCGAGGGTTGGACGCGTTGGGAAGGGTTTCTCCCTATGCACTCCAGGTGGTCGTCCTCCTACTCCAAGCCGGGCGGTCGGGTACCTGCCAAAGGCACTCCGACGCTCAAGTCAGTAATATGACAGAGCAATCTGTGATGCATGTATGCATTGCATCGTAAGGAAAGTTCGTCAAGAACTCATACCTGGAACCTTTATTTATACTGATTGTAATGGGCTTTTACCTTTAGTGGGCCTGATAACGGCCCAATCATACTTAATCTTCGTTAAGGGCTTTAATAAGTCTTTAACCGTGTAGTCGATCCAGCGCGGGTCGGTTAGGAAGGATGGTCGGCCAGGGATGTCAACCTGGGTGGGCGGCCATCTGGTTCTGTTGTCCGGTCACACTGGACGCTCGGTCCTGATTGCCCACCTGAGTGGACGTTCGGTTTATGAATGACCGACTTTGGAGGGTCACTCAGTCCATGTGTGGTCGGACAGCGTTAACTCTAACGCTCGGTCTTGATGTTCGACCGGATAGACGTTTGATTCATGAAAGGGATGACCGGACGGTACACTTTCTTTTGTTGTTAATAGGATTATCTTCTCTCAATGAAAGCACTAGTAGCTGCTTTTCCTATTTCCATCACCAACGACACACCTGGGTTCGTGTTCTTGTCAATTTTAGTCTTTTTCGATTGATTACAACCACATCACGATTCCAACCAACAATTTCTGAAAGATCAGAGCAAACATCTAAATTTCTACACTGAATTCTAATTTCACTTAATCAATTCTCAATTTCACATCAATCCCTGATTTGGATGATAGGACCTAAAGCCTATTAGTGAACCCTAATTTCGCGCAATATGAAAACATTTCCAATTTGATTTTAATTAAATTTTGCTATTTTGTTAATGTTTTTTAAAATACCAAAATCCACATCACTCATCCGGATAAAATGCCATCAGTTTGTCACCTTTAATTAACCCATGTCAACGTGTCACATCAATTGCCATTTAACTACGTTCAGCCAATTTAAAAACAAAGTCCAATTACATCAATAATTCACAAGTAGAGATCTAATAGAGAACAAAATGAGTGAAGAATCAATTTGAGACAAGTAACAAAAATAAAAACTTCATGAATGATTTAACCTTTTTAATATATAGATCCCTTCCAAATTCCAAAAAAAAAACTAAATTGAGAGGACTATTTTTGTTTCTTTTTTTAAGAAAAAATATTAAAAAAGTAAACATTAAAAATAATAATAAAAGATAATTAGTTTAGAAATTTACAATATTATATAGTTGATCATAAATATTTTTATTGTAATATTCTTAGTTTTAAAAAACTCATAAATTATTTTTTATTTTATTTCTTAATTTAAAATGATTAAAATCTAAACTCAATAATTATAATGAATTATTTTAAATTAATTTTTTACAATTTTATTTTTTTTCTTCTCATTTTAGAAAAACAAAAAAAAGTCCGAAAATTCTTAACATATTATTTGGAAAAATGATGTTCTAATGAGTTTATTGAAAAACATCTTTAAAAAATTATTATTTTAAGAGAATAAATAAATAAAAATTTAATAGTATATTTGGATAAATTTTTTCTTTTAAGAGAAAAATATAATCTATGTCCAATTATATTAATTGTTGTATATGTGAAAATGTATTATATTTCTTGCTCGTGTACTGAGTTGCAGATAATTAAATATTGTTATGAATTTTAATATCTTTAATGAAATATTAATATATCAATCACTGTTATTATATAAAAATTTATTAAATAAATAAATAAATATTACTACAAGAATTATGTTGATTATTATTTATAACTAAAATCCGTCGATAATTTTTAATTTATTAACAAAAGGGGTTTTCGATATATTTTATATTTAAATTTGTTAATAAATATTTTGATTAATTTAAAATTTGAAAATTTCTCAAAGATTTATCATCACAATTACTGAAGACTTTGTTGTCGAAAAATATTAGTTAATAAATCACAATTTTTAGTGTCTATGTAAATTTTTATGGGGACTTTATTATTATAGTTATTGACTATCCATATCCATTCGACAACAAATTTTCTGTCTAATCTATTAGAGTTTTATATTATATATTAAGAGATATGTGAAGTGAAGGTAAAGGAAGAAGATTATAGGAAAAGAAAAAAAAAAGTAAAAAAGAAAAAAGTTACTAAATAGTGAGGTGAAGGTTGATGATTGTCGAGGAGAGTCACTAATGATGATTAAATATGTCATGATTAAATATCATTAATAAAATTATTACTTTTCATATTACATATTTATTTACAAGATTGTGCATATCCGTTTTTCATGCTTTCTACATATATCATCGGCAAAAGATTGATATTTTGAGTTAATAGTTCTACTTTTTATGAGTTTTATTTAAAGTAGTCCTCAGATTTTTATTCACATTCAAAAATAATTTTAATTTTTATAATTATTTGTTCAATTTAATTATTTTCTCTTACTGTGTTTAAACATGGTCAGCCAGTGAATCAGTAGTTAGTTTTTTATATACCTAAGAACTTAAAAGAAGATATAGTATTTGAAGATGATTTTGTTCAAACGAACTTCCCCAGCTACAACTCCATCAATGCCGCATAGTTGTTGTGAGTTTGGCCACCTCCTCCGCATACTCCGGCAAAGAGATTTTCATCCGCAACCTTAACCTCCTCCGCATACTCCGGTAAAGAGATTTCCATCCGCCACCTTAACCCTCCACTTCCTCCGTCACCTCCCTCGATTTCATCTTGCACCACTTGGTCTCCGCTGCCTCACTCCCAGACATATTAAATTCCTCAATTTTCCTCTGCCTGTATTAATTGATCTGTGCTCAGTCTACATTGAGTATAATTGTGTATGCATCATACATACAGATTTTGAAAGATATCTTACCTTATTCTAACAGATAAAATTGGACATACAATGAACACAATGCACAGTAGCAAAGTGTAGATAGAGTACTGATAGATATTATACATATCTAAATTTTAAGATTCTTCTGCTTAACATCAACATTGACAAGAACACAGAGAAAGATTTGCAGATAGTTGCGGAAGAAACATCACCATTGTTGGCAGAGGAGAAATTAGAAATTATAGATTACACAAGCCACATAGATTTGTCCAAAGAGCCAGGCCATTATGTGATATTCTGGGAAATCAGTGGAGAAGCAAGTGAAGAAGTGCTTGGTGGATGCTGCAACTGCATGGACAAGTCTTTTGTTGATGCTGGCTACACCAATTCTCGCAAAGTCAACTGCATTGGTGCCCTTGAACTCCGACTTGTGAGGAGAGGAACATTCCAGAAGATTCTTGACCATTACGTGGCACTTGGATCTGTTGCAAATCAGTTCAAGACACCAAGATACATAGGCCTTACAAACACCAGAGTGTTGCAAATATTGAATGAAAATGTTGTCAAGAACTATCTCAGTACTGCCTTCAATTGAATAATATTAATAATAATCCTATAGGAGCTATGTTACAGTTTTGAGAGACTGGTGAATGATTTTCTCCTAAGAATATGCTTGTTGTTGAATGTGTATGGCTAACATAAAGGGAGTTTTTTAATGTGAAAATGCTCTTTCCAACTCTTATATCCCAACCAAAAGATAGGAGAAATAGTGGAGGGTCAAAAGTTGGTTTCATTTATCTACAGTTCTTAATCATGATAAGGATTTTTTCCTATCCTGTGTCGATAAATGATATTTACCTACCTTTTATGTTAGTTTTATCAGTCCAAAACAAAAAAATAAAATTCAAGTTTATATTTGAATCTTAAAGCTTGCATGATCAGTATTTGAATCTCACAATTGGTACCATTAGTTCAAACATGAAAAGACAACTCATATTTTTGTTTGTATATATGTATATTTATTGAATTAAATTATAATAAATGCAAAATTAAAATAATCATAGAGATTGTTACTTCCATTTTGGCAAAGCAAGACCTTAAAATTGCTAGAACAGCGTAGCATAGGTCATTAAGGTCATTGGTAGTGGTTACGACTGAGTTCAAGGATAATATGTCCCCAGTGGAGATTTTGCAGTTGAAGACCCTTGACTCTCCACCATATGCTTCAAGGAAATTGTGATCAATTAAAATCATCATTCATATCAATATACGCAGCCATTCCACACTAATTAAAATCATCATTCATGTCAATATAGTGTAGTATTTTTTGAGAACAAAACATCCTATTGCAAAATGGAGTATTAATAGAACATCCTAATGCCTTGAAGTTGAGGGAGGCGGCAGAAACCAAGTGGTGGAAGATGAAGTTGAGGGAGACGGTGGAGGAAGTGAGGGGTTGAGGTTGCAAATAGAAATCTTTTGGCCGGGGTAATGCACAGAAGGTGGACGGAGGAGGGGGGCGAGTTCACGACAATAATGCAACAACGATGGAGTTGTAGCGATAGAGGGATATGGATTCTGGCACGACAATGGCGAGGATAGAAGTTTGTTTGAATAAAATCACTTTCAAATATCGAATTTTCTTTTTAAGTTGTCATGTATATAAAAAACTAACAACTTATTTACTGGTAGCTGACCTAGACACTGTATAGATAATGATATAGAGACTGTCAGCGAAAAGGACCAAATTGAACAAAAATTATAAAAAATTGGATACTTTTTAATTGATTCTCGCATATTTCAGTGTTGGAAGTTCCACACCAACTAGAGATAAGACCAATTTATAATATATAAGTAGATGCAAACTTCACTTTACAAACTAGTTTTGTGAGTTTGAGTTAGACTGTCCACTTCTTAACATAGTATAAAGTTATGATTTTGTGATATTGAATTAGGAATTATAAGATTATTTTTTATATATATCACATCATATTCATACCATTAGAACATATATTCTAACTTGTTACACCTTTTTAGTTCTAAAAGTTTTATTTTTTAACTTTTTTTATTTTTATTAATAAATGAAATCATTTTGACAGTTTCTTAAAAGTACGAGATAAAATGTTGTAAAATAATAATTTATCGTAAAGAAACATTAAATTTTTCAATATGGACAACGTTTAAAAGTAAAACCGTCAATTTTTATTATTCATTATTATTAGTAAAACGTTTTTGGTGCAAGATTCAATTTTTATTTATTTATTTATTATTCATTATTGTGACAATAGTCTTTATCCAAGTTTCTCACTTAAGAGTTGTCTCACATTCTATAAATAGAACATTTTTCACATTCCAAAACACACAACATTTTCTCTTATTTTTCTTCCTCCTAGTTTCATGCTTTCTCCTTTTCTAAAAATATCCTGGATTTATTTTTTACTATTTATAGAATTTCTTACTGGTTTTGTCATAAATTTCTAAGTTCCTTAGAAAAATACCACTAGTGCAGAAATAGCATTTAACGTCACGCGTTTAACCTTTAAGAAAAGGCAATCTGACGTGAAAAGTGACTGGTGGCAATTTTTCAAATAAAACAACATTATAGAAGTCAGTTAAATGGGCCCCCGAAGTCAAATAAGGTATAGACGTCGGCTTCCCCTCCACAAACTTAAAAAATGTTCAAAAATATCTCATTTAGGTGCCAATATTAAATTTTTTTGCCATTTAGACATCGGTCCCCCTCCCCATGGACTAAAAAAGGTTTGAAATTACCTCATTTTGGGCGCCAATATTAATTTTTTTACCACTTAGACATTGGCTCGAAAGGGGGTTACGCTTAGAGCATTGAGACGTCGGCTGGGAAGGGGGGTCATCGTCAAATACTTTGCATTTTTACCTACTCCAGGACGTGAGCACCAATTACGCGTTCTCTCTCTTGCTGCGTTCAACTTCTTCCTCTACTTTCTCTCGTTTGTCATTAACGTTCAGGTAAGTTTTCTTCCACTTTGCACCATTTAAAATTATTTTACACCGATTATATTACGTTTGGAACCATTATCTTTCATTTGCACTGATTAAAATTTGTTTTCATTGAATTTGGTGCAGCTCCTAGGAACGTTCTAGGAAAACTGGGTGACAATTATGTGTGTTTCTCTCCTCATCCTCACAACGGCACCTGTTTACTCACCTTCACGGTTAGTTTCATTTTGGGGTTGTTATGTTGTATTTTCATTAGTTGTTGCATTTTTAACTACTTCTAAAATTCTAAACATTTTTGTGGTGTATTCTTGTGTTTGATATTGATTTCTCATGGTTTTAGTGGAGGATTGGCGAATTTTTTTAGAAAAACAGTTCATTATTGAGGTCTCTGGTAAGAACAACATACGTCAATTAACGTCTGTTAAAAAAACAACATACATCAATCTAACGTCTATCGCTATGACATCGGACATTTAATATACATCAAAAGCCTAAAATAACATACGTTAAAAGCTATTTTTGTGTTAGTATAATATATATATTCACTTTGCAAAAGTAAAAGTTATTATTTTTTATATAATTTGTAACCAGTAAAAAAAAATGTAAAATAGTAGTGATTAGTGATGTTTAACGGTTTATATTTTAAAGCTTAATGTATAGTTTTTAAAACAACTTTCTTATACATTAAACATTTTGAATATTGGTTTCTTATATAATTTAAATTAAATTGTAATATATATTATGTTTTTCATAATATATGTTATTGAATTGTAATAAAAAAAAAAGTACAAAAACATTAGTTTGAGTGGAGATTTAAACGTGTTCAATTGTTATGTTCATATTGAATATTTTAGAAGTTATTTGAAGATACAATGAAAGCAACAAAATAAAATGTATATATGTGGACTAAAAACAATGAGCGTAGATATATATATATATATATATATATATTTATATATATATATATATATATATATATATATATATATATATATATATATATATATATATATATTTTCAAGCTCGCCAATCTAATCTTGATTTATTTATATTTTAAAATTGCAATATCTGTTATATCGCAGTTAATTGCAATATCTTTAGGTAATATGCATTGATTATAAAATTATTTATGTTAGATTATATGTGTTATAGTTCCTTTGTCTAAAAAGGAAATAGTTTTGCAAAACTGTTTTATAACAAACTTTAAATGCTGATAAATCCAATTAATAACATGAATAGTTGATTTTGTCATTTACTATTATTCAATGAGACAGTATGATGTGAAAGTGTGTCGGTATTAAAATATCAGTACAAAATATCTATAATTTAATTTCTAAAATTGGAAACAAACTAATAACTTAATTATTACGTCATTCTTATGAGTGAACTAAAATAAACAATTACTGCTACAATTTTATTATTCTTGTGTTTTAAATTTTAATTTAAAAGTTCAATAAAAACATTTAACAATTAATTTCAATATTAAAATTTAAACATAGGATACAAGGATGAGAAAAATAATTCAATACAGATATTTATACATTTTTATGACTAAGATTCAAAAACAATTGCATTATTGATTTTAGAAAAATGAAAATTTTGGACCACTTATATATGAAAAATTCTAAACTCTAATTTAACCGGATAGAAAGCTTTCGAAGTAAAACCATTCATAAAGGCGAAAGAATAAGAAGAAATGAGAAAGTCGCAGCAAAAGAAAAATAAAAAAAAATAAAAAGAAAAAAGAAATGAGAAAAAAGAAGCTACACCGAAAGTGACTTCAAAATTTACTTAAACCGAAGCACATTGCAACAGACTCTATGATATCCCACAAATGTAATTATTTTTAATTTTAAAATTATCACAATGCGTTTTTCACACAGTATTCTTTTAATTTGTTTATTATTTTTTTAATCAACGCCTTTAACTTAGGTTTCAATTTCCTTATATTTATTTTCTTATTTTAATTTTTATATTCATTTTTCTTTATATTTTATATTATTCACATGGCGGTCAATTGTCATAATCAATGAGATTGGTAATTTTGCTAACTACTTACAATAAATAACATTAATTATGACTTCTCTCTTTGCTGTATTTTTCAAACCCTAAATGCCCCACTTGTAAATAAAAGGAAAATTATTTAAATATTAATTTATTTATTTTTTTAATTTAGTTTTATTTTTTTTAATTTGACTTTTTTTCTTAATATAGTTTAAATAATTAACTGATTGTGAACAAAGTTATGTGCAAGTTTGTAACTTATTTTTTTATTTTTTAAAAAAGTTAATTTAAAAAAAATCACGTGTCAAATCAATATCATGTGTAAGTTGAATTTAAGTTATATGTGAAATAAACCAAGCATATTGCTAATAATTTATCTTTATGTAGATGCTATGTTGGTGATAGGAGATTATAGCACAAAATTGACGAGTTCAAATCATAAATGAAAACAACGTTTGAAAAGCAGTGTTTTCAACTATTTCCTTGGTCTCGGGTTTGTGTATATAATTCACATGGGATTTTAATGCATTAAATGAAGTATGCAAGTGAAATATTGGAGAAGTTCAAAATGTCATAATGCAATCTAGAACATATATCAGTCATGATGAAATCATAACTTACCG